GTCTTTGCTCTGCCGCCATCTTCCGGAAGTCTGTATAAGCTTTTTTAAGAGGAGAGTTGTTAACTACTTTGAATTAAATGCTTATATTGCATAGCATATTTTCTTCTCCTAACTACATGATCATTTTAAAGTTACTATAATCTGATTGTGATGCCCCTTTTTAGATATAATACCAGATATTTAGACACGAGGAACTAAAGAAGAAGAAAAAATAAAAGAAAGAAACACCTCATGAAAATATTACATTTATATTCAATGCATAAGATAATGCTTATTTATAAGAAGACAAGAAAGGAGTAGATCGAATTATGAAGCGTAAATAAATGAAGCAATATGAAACAAAGCAAACAAAATGATTTGACAATAGCAGCATAAACATCTTCAACATAGATTCTGTTTTAATCTGCTCGCAACTGATTTTCAGTTATAAATAACACTGAATAGAAAGGTTAGAATTTTAGATCCGAAGTTGACATAACTGCTACAGAAGAGAAAAAGCAACTCTTCACTAAAGTTTACATTAGCAAAGCTAATTTCAATCAGGTTAATTGTTGGTTTGTAGTTATACACGTAAAAATAACCTATTGTAAACCAACTATTATTTTAATAAAACACAAAAGAGCTACATTCTTGAAAGTAAACATATTCCATTTAATCACGAATATTTTGAGTGACTAGAAAACTAAAGGAAAAAAAAAAAAAAAGCATGTCCTGTGGGAAAGAATTTTAAGGTGAGACTAAATATGTGGTGGCTTCTCCATGAATTGGGTGTGTTTATTGCATGTTCTCTCTAGATGTTACTTTTGAAAAGTATACCTATATAATTTCTATATGATATATATCTATATAATATATAAACATTTCTGTGTAATATGCATCTAATTATTTCTACATACTATTTAATCCTATGCAAATTTTCTGTGTGCTGAGACTCCTATTTTATGTCAACATAACTTGTTAACTTTTGCTTCAAGGGGATTATTTTCTCTTTATTTGTCCTTTTTTGTTTTACCACTTACTGCTCTAGGAATACTTGGGAAATAGTCAAATGCCTTGTACATTGTTATAATGTTTTATCACCTGACATATAATTGCTGAAAATGTTTTTAAAAATAATCAGAAATTGAGCCATTTATACTAGAGAATATAGTAACAACATCCTGTTGTTGATTTGGTAGTTATTCACAAATACAAAATTTAATTCTTACATATCTGTAACTACTTTTTTGCTGAACAAATAGAAGTCTCAAAAGACTAACCTAGCTAGCGTGATAATATTATTAGCTTTGATCTTAAGTGAATTTTGCCTTAACTCATAACCACCTTATTCCTTGTACATTAACTATTGGCTAATTTACTTGCTTTGCTTTATCATAATGATGCAGTTTAATTGCCATTATACATGTAATGTGGATTTATTGTTAAATAAAACTATGTAAGATAAACAATTTATAGCATTGGAACTTTGGTTGGTATAGAAAAATGTATACTGAAATCTCTACTTGCCAACAGGGCAATCTATTTTAATGTAAAATCTCATAATAATAGCTGTTAATGAAAAATAATTAATGCTTATTATAATTATTTTTAATTAGACTATTTGATTTATATCCCAAGTGTTTATACTTATCCTTGTGTATGCTATGCTTATAAGTGAAATTTAACCTTTTTTTTTTCCCATAGGGTTATCAGGAATAGTGTTATCTGGATATTATATAAATTATTAATGATAAAACTGAATATGAAGTTGTAGTGCCTAATTAATTTATTGCATGCATCTTTTCTGATTCCAGAAATTGAAATATTACATCATAAAGAGGTGTTTATTGCTTAGATTTATGCTTACATTTCATAATTTAGTTTCTTCCAAAATCTTTTAATTAGAAAGTAGTTATGATATTTTGATTATTTGCCTCAATAATTTCAAATAATTTATTTAACGAAATGTCAAAACATCAACTGAACTTAGCATTTTTAGTCTAATGAGAGAGAGACCATTAGTGAAAATCCTTCAAAGACCTCATTCATAAGATACTAATTAAAATCACAAAATAATATGTTGTTACTATATACTAAAATACTTTCATGTCCCCTTTTCCTAATGTATGTAGCATTTTCAGGAAGTCTGTGTGAGGCAAAAACATAATTTTCTCTCATGATTAATATTACTAAAATGAATTTGAAAATACTGGGAATATTTCAGCTGTTAAACAACTCAAATAAAATCACATTCCCTCTGGCTTCATTACAATCCCTGAAGAAAGAAAAACTTGATATTTGTCACATTAAATTTTAATTTCTCTCTTTTCCCCCCTCTGTCTTTCTATATTTCCTTTCTATTTAAGAGATTCATTCTCCTGCTGGTTGTAATGAACATGAATTTCATTGTCATCCTGATGGAAATTGTATTCCTGACATGTGGCGCTGTGATGGAGAAAAAGATTGTGAAGATGGTAGTGATGAGAAAGGCTGCAATGGCACTTTAAGATCGTGTGACCACAAAACCAAGTTCTCCTGTCGGAAGACAGGTAAGCAGAACTTTGGATTCAGTCTAGCTTGGGTTTCTTAGATATAGAATTCTGTGTGTTTAATAGGTGTGTTCACATCTTTATAGATCATCAATAGTAACTAGCATTCACTGAGGATGAGTCTGCACTTTTCTAGAAAGGTACCCTGCATGAGCTCTTTTCATCCTTACATTTCACAGTGGGGAAACTGAGACCCAAGGAAAATTTTAATCAAATGAATAAAAGTTAAAGGAAACTTTGCTTTGTTGACTCACAGTGCCAACATGGCAGAATTAGTAATTGAAATCAGGAAACCTGGTTTCAGAGTCTGACATTTCAGCCTACTGAAAGTCAAAAGTGCAGAAACCATAGACATTCCCCTTCCGTTTATAAGTAATAACTATAACTACAAACAATGACTAGAAATGAAAAATAGAAAAGCATACTTTTTGTAAAAAAAAAAAAATTCTCGATTTTTATTGTGCTATTGCTCGATTCTAGTAGGAGGAATATGACCTTGTCATGTAAGCCTTTGCTTTGAGAGTCACTTGGACTTTTTTTTTTTTTTTTTTTTAATGAAGGCTCTCTGCTCTTATAGCCTTTCCATTTTACAACATTCAATACTGTCTTCCTTCTGTGATAAACTGACATACTTATTTCTCATTCTATACCAGATGATGATTTGAAACTTAAAGGATAAGAGATTACAATTTAACTATTGTAATATAATTGGTGAAATAATTGATATTATAATCCAATAACCCATGGAAAGAATTTTCTGTAGATTTGGGGATATAGATATATACTGGAACCTCTGAAATTTCACTTTAACGTTAAATTGCATTTAACTTGCTCAATCATGAGCTCTTAATGACTCATTTCACTCCTATCTCAACAGAAAAGTAGAAATAGAAAGTTATTGTAACAATTTTAAAAAAATTGTCCCTTGGGAATTTAAAATATCAAAATAAATTTTGTTTCTTTTTTCCTAGTTAAAATTAAGCATTTAAATAAGAAATTGATAGATAAATATAAACTGCAATTGGCATAGATAAATTCTTTGGCGGCCCATCCGTGTGAGGGAATTTTCTTTTCATAATAGTTCTATTTCTAACAATATTTTTTCACAATTATGTGGCTCTTAAATTATTATAAGAAAGGTCTCACCTTTGGAATTATTGACTAGAAAAACATGACATTAAGTACAGGGATTAACATAGAATATATTAATGGTTGATGAATGAACTTGTTAAGTGAATTATTTACTAAATAAAAATGTTTTTAATTAATATTCTAAAAATGATGTTAAGAGCCAGTTAGTTCACTCAGGACAATGTTATTCTAAACATACATACCACATATTTTCCCCCATGTTTTTTCTGCATGCTAATTCAGCTTTTGTGCTAATGTTGAAAAATGTCAGATAATTCAATATTTCATAGGCATATAATAAGAAACTGGTAAGACTATAGTGAAACCAAATATAAAATGACACAGAAAATCCTGAGATAAAACTAACTGAATATGTGATCAATATTCAGCAAAGTTAGAGATGAACCTCTCAAAGTAAAACCATTTCATAAATCTATATAATTTATATAGAAATAAATGATAGTTTTATAATAAAGTAAGTTTTAAAAGGTACATGTTAGTAAAAACTGATTTGAACTTTTTATAACAGATTATTTGCAAAGAAAAAATTTAAATTATAAATGAGATAGAGATGTTAACAGAAAAATTCAATGCTTGTGACCTATGTACATATTGATATTTTGCTATAAACAATTATAAATAACTTTTACTGAAAACTACTGAACTTAAATATATATCTGATATAAGGTGAGTATGGTGCATTCATATGTGGTGGTATGAATGAAGTTCTACTAAAAATAATACACCAGGCCCTCCCTTGTGGCGCAGCGGGTTAAAGCACAGCACGGAGAATCTAAAGCCGCTTCCTCATGAGTTCGATTCCCGCCTGCCCCGGAGGTGACCACATGGCGTGGCAGACCTCTCCT